TTTAAAATCGGATGGAAAATAGTTAGGCTATTAACAGTTAGGCATCAAATACGAAAATAACGTTTTTTTTTTGGTATACAAAAAATGGGGGGTTAGTTCCGGGACCTATTTTCATATTGTACTCGACCATACCTACAACCTACACCAGGTTTTGTTTCGGATGTATTTCATGACTTTTTTTGTAGCACTAATATCACATCGATTTCAAAATAAAAAAATATGTTTTTCTTATTTTTGATATTCTTCAGATCTGAGGGGTGGCTGAAGTTAAAAATTTTGGCCCACCCTAATGTACATATGTATATACACTCATGAGAGAATACTTGTAAATACATATGTATGTGCCCAGGTACCTAATTTAGCGCGCGTGCAATGCGGAAACGTATGCACCCAGATAAGCCAGATAAGCAATGGGAATGAGCAAAACGACGGGTAAAGGATGCATGAGTATGCATTTTACGGGTAACAGCGAAAGGTGTAGCAGAGAAGGCTGTGGTTCAGAAGCGATTTGTCATCGATTGTAAACATCATTATCTCAGCAATTGAGTTGACACGACAAATACTCGTTAGTTAATATGTATGCGAAATCAAAAACAAATTGTTACGGTTACATGCCTAAGTATGTACTTGCATATCCAATATAACATATATAAATAAGATATCTAGATACATATGCATATGTATGTGGGCAGTTATGTGTGGAACGTCATCAGTTTGTACAAGTATATAAACAAATAAATAAACAAGTAGGTGCTTGTGGCATTGAATTGGAAAATTGCACACTGAAACAACAAATGATGCAAACACAAGCAAATGTGTTTTAAATTCTTAAATCAACACACAAACTTTATATTTACATATGTATATACATGTAGGTACATAAACTATATGAATGTATGTGTATATGTGTGCATTGGAGTAAATGCGAGTGAAAACAAATCAAAATGTGATTTCCTCGCGACACATTATGGGGCAATCGACTTGGAGACAATATCGCCTCAAGAACACATCCTGTGCAACAACTTCCCTTAATACAACATCGTATTGTACGTTAGGCTGACATAAGGCAATAGATATGCGATATATTTAAGTACGGCTGACATCCAAAACGTCATTTGCATTGCATACGTACAAAGTTTAATATTCCATAACGCCGCACTACAATTGGTTGACAATGTATACTTTTCCAAAACGCATCCGAAAAGTTATCGAAACGCATCACTAGAGTAATCAGCGCATCAGAAACAAAGATACTTCGTATCTTTTTGGTTACCATTTGTGTTTTAAAAATGGAAAATTCCGAAATGGTGATCATTGTTTTATTAAATATTCAAGATATGCAATGTATACACGGTTAAAAATTTCGGTTTTAATTTTGAACTTTTTGGACTACATATATGACCAAACTAAATTCAGTTTCAAATACAAACCTTCCAAGTTTAAAGAAAAGAGAGCATATATGTTGGGTCTAGAATTTAAACAGTTCGGTTTAAATTTGAAACCCAAACATTTTCATAATTAAGAATAAAAAAAAATCTTAAATTTCATGCTCCGTCTGATGGGGATTGAACCCGGACAGCCTTGGTAGCAACCAATTGTATCAAGCATCTCTGCACAATCAGCTACAGCCACGCATGAGTTTGAATCAACACCACATTTCGTAGTGTGCAAACATTTTCTATTTCGGTTTAGATCTTAAACGAAATTTTCTATATATGAAACCTAGGAACTAGAATTAAAACATTTTGGTTTGATTTTTAAACCACGAACTGATTCGAAATCAGCTAGTGCAAAGGAAATAATAGACATTTATGTATGCCATTTTGCTCACACTCCGCAGCAGTCACAATGGCCGAGTGAGCAAAGCACTAGACTGCCAATTGAGAGATCCGAGTTCGAGTCTGAGTCGTCGAGCAGCGGAGCTTTTGTTTTCTTTTTTTATTTCATTTTTGTTTTTTTAATTCTTTTTTTTTATACCCGAGCGCACTTGTGCAATCGAGATAGATATAGACAAATGTATACATAAATGCTCAGAATGAATGGAGAGTCGATTAAGCCATGTATATATGTCCGTCTGTCCGTCCGTCCGTGTACACGATAACTCGAGCAAAAATTGAGATACCTCAACGAAATTTGGTATGTAGGTTTCCATTAATCCAAGGTGGGTTGGTATTGAAAATGGGCGAAATCGGACTGTAACCAAGCCCACTTCCCATATAACGGTAATTTCCAAAAATACGAAAACTGCGATATTTACAATAATTTTCAGACGAAAAATAAGAATATTATAAATTTTTGGAAAATGGGCGTAGCCGCGCCCTCTTATGGTTACATGTGTATATCTTGGTAACCGCTGCACCAATTTCTTCCAAACGTGGCACAGTTGTTGGCCTTGGTACAACATACTAAATACTACATACTACGTTTATGGTAAAGTTTTGGAAAATGGTCGTGGCACCACCCACTTATGATCACATATATGTATACGGTAACCGTTCTACCAATTTGTACCAAATTCGGTATTTTTATTGTGCTTGTCACATAAAAGCAAAACGTTGAATAATATTGAAATTGGACTAAAATTACGGCCGCTTTTCATATAATGGTAAATTTCTGAAATGCTTGAAACTGCAATATTTCGAAATTTACACTGATCCTAAAGCACAATGGTTTTTTCAACCAAGTTATGGTTTACTTTTTCGTGGGCAATAACTCGATTGTAAGAAATGTGATTCAAGCTGAACATTTGAGAACAGAGGTGCTTGCTGTTATTTGTTGGCTTCCAGCAGTACGAATGCTGTAAGCGCGATACATAATTTTTATTTTTTTCTGTTTTTGATTTTTCTTAATTATGTAAAAGACTCTGTGAAGTGCAGAACCAAATTAAGCGACGAAGAAAATTGATTCAAGTTTAACATTTGCAGACACATTTATAAAAATTTTGGTTTTGTATCTCCGAACTATGAAAAAGCATCTGTGAAGTGCAGAACATGAACGTATTAAAACGAAAAAATCGACAACCAAAAGTTTGGTTAATGTAAACAAAATTGTGGTTAATATTACCAAATCATTGTTGAAAATATCAACCAAGGCATTGTTAATAATAACCAGAAGTCACGTTTATTCCTTTTCAAGTTTAAATTTGGTAATATTAACCAATATTTGGTTGATTTTTCTCTCAGTGTAAGGACGCTAATTTACTCAAAATTAATACACCTCGTCTTACCATCTAGCGGTAGGCTTCGGAAAGGCTTAAAAAAACATATATTTAATATTTGCGCCGGGTATTTAATGTTCGGCCCCGCCCGAGCTTAGACTTTCTACTTGTTTTAGTTTAGATTTTATTCTCTTAAAGAGAAAACAATTTTTTTAAATTAATTTAAATTAGTATTTTTTTCAATAAATTTTTATGATATTAAAGTAATTCGGCTTCTTTCCTAATAAATTGTTGTTAAACTATTATTTCCTCGCTTCAAAAAAAACATTCCTTAAATAGCGTCTAGCAGATGAATATATGTATGTACATATGTATATAAGTATGTTATTGACATTTTACGTCTACGTTTACACAAATATATGGAATTATATCAAACTATAACCAATGTGGAGTATAATAAATATTTATCATTAACAATATTCAGCTTTTTTCCGTTATTTTTAAGATTCAGTGTTTTAAATTTTGTTCCGACAGCATAAACTCGTCGTAGTGTATCTGTACGAATCTTCACTACGAACGGATTCAATGAATGCTCTCTACGAATTTCGAATTTACGTTCGTAGCCATTCGGATTCTGTGATAGCACTTTCGTAGGTTTCACGAAAATGAAAGCTAAGACGGCTTCTGTGATAGCCCTGATTGACTAGTTTAAAAAGTAGACTAAAAAAGATTAAAAAAGGTAGTAGTCCCAGCGTGGTTTAAAAATTAAACCCAAATTTTTGGCCGTGTATGTTTGCAATGTTTCGCAACTCTGCATATGCAAACAGTTTAAATACTGCAGTAGAACAGTATCCAAACATTGTAATGGTACACTGAGGGGAAAAAATATTAAAATCAAATAGAAACGTAATTGATCTTACTACAAACATCAACGAAAGTACTGTATATTGGTAAATATTCAATTCAATTACGCGCATATTAAAATGACCGCGTTCGTACTGAAAAAGCATCCGTGAAGTGAATAATCAAGACCAAAACTAAAAAAAGAAAAATTTAATTCGCACGTTGTTCGAACCCGACCATCTCCGGATATCAACAACTTGTGGCAAGCATCTTTGCGCACTCAGCTACACCATAGGCATATAAATTTGCTTTCGAATGTTGAATATACATCAACACCACGATTCTTGCATCAACACCACAGCACGCGATTTGTAGTATGTATGCATGTGTGTATTGTCACCACTCTCAGAGCGGCGCTCTGAATGCTTGGGTGCGTATGTACACTTACAAATACATACTGAGTTGTGAACAGTCAAATACGTGCGTAATAAATTTTGTATGAAAATATTATTTTTAAATACGAACATTTTTAAACAATAATCAAATATAAAGTTGTTACGCAGCGAAATGTAAAAAGTACAATTATAGTTGTAAGAAAACGCGTGTTTTCTGTATGGTTGTACAAACGGAAGTAAGTTATTTTTATTTGGCACTTCATATACAATCTGTCACTTACATAGCACGGTTGCATTTATATAATCCCTAAATACAGTTCAATATAAAATAATATATTTATTCAACACCCTTCCGGAATATTTTATTTTATATAAAGCAGAATATTATGTATTTAATTTTTCAAAAAAAATTTAAGCCAACTTCATTCAAGAAAAATTTAATTTTGTGAGCATTAACAGCCTTCGTTAAAATATCCGCCAACATATTCTTTGTATTGATGTATTCAAGTTTAATTTCACCGTTTGCAATTTTCTCTTGAATGAACTTTGCTTTGATATGTACATGTTTTGTACGCGCAGAAAAAGAGTTGTTGGTTGCTATGAACATTGCGCTTTTGTTGTCACAGAAAATAGTCATAGCCTTCGGTCCGCTTAGAACGAGTTCGGTTTGTAATCGCTTCAGCCACAAAGACTCTTGAATAGCACAGACCGTCGACATCAACTCGGCTTCTGTCGATGAAAGTGCTACAGTTTGTTGCCGCTTGGTTAACCAAGATATTGCACCACCTTGGAACATAAAGATGTACCCAGTAGTGGAGCGTCTACTGTCGGTGTCACCAGCCCAATCCGCATCACAAAAGCCAGCAATTTCATCAGAGCCTTTTCTGTAAAATAAACATTTATTTATGGTACCTTGCAAGTACCGCAATATGCGCTTCAGTGCAGTCCAATGTGCCTTGCCGGGGTCAGAGGAGAAACGACTCAGCATATTGACTCCAAAGCAGATGTCCGGTCGAGTAATCTGTGCAGCATATAATAGACACCCTACAGCAGGCATGCCCAACGCCGGCAGAACTCCATAAGCAAGTGCCCTGCGCTGGCAGAATTCAATAGGCAAGTGCCCTGAGCTGGGCACGGCTGCCCTACAGCCTGCATATAAGGTACTTTAGCCATCTCAGTTCGTTCAGATATTAGTCTTCGGACACATTTCAGATGTCAACTTCTGATTTATATAGATTGGCGTGGATATCGGGTGGCATGTATCCATGCCAAAGCGCTTTAAAACATCGGCGATGTATGTCGATTGATCAATTTTTATGCCGCTATTGTCCCGTGTAACTCGCATGCCTAAAACTGATGAAGCTTCGCCAATATCCTTAATTTTGAATGACTTATGAAGGCTCGCTTTTAGTTTTTTTATTTTGTTAATGTCGTTACTGAATATTAAGACGTCATCTACGTATATGGCCACAAAAAACAGTTCACTCTCGGAGTTGGCGTGGTAAATACATTGATCCACTTCACTTCTGTGCAGTCCAAAGCTTAGTAGTACGAAGTTGAGCTTTTCGTTCCAAACTCGACATGATTGTTTTAAGCCATATATCGACTTACGCAGCTTGCAGAATTGTCATCAAAACCGGCAGGTTGTGTCATATATATTTCTTCCTTCAGATTGCCGTTCAAAAAGGCGGTGACAGCGTCCATTTGGTGTATAATCAAATCATGTTTAGCAGATAAAGCCAAAAGGAATCGAAGCGACGTATAACGTACGACCGGCGCGAAGGTTTCTTCGTAATCGATTCCCCTTTCCTGGCAATATCCCTTCGCAACGAGTCTCGCCTTGTCTCGAACTGCTTCGCCAGCAGCATTAATTTTGTTTTTGAAAACCCATTTGCTGGGAATAGCTTTCTTTCTTGATGGTAGCTCTGTGGGTCCCCATGTCTTGTTAGCCATGTGCGAAACCATTTCGTCTTCCATAGCGGACTTCCATTCGTCAGCATTTTCTCTTGATAGAGCTTCTTCAACTGTTTGATGCTCTTTAAGAATAAAGCTCAAAGCACAAAAATTATGCGAAGTACTCGGCTTATTATTAAGGCGTTCAGATCTACGTACCAGCAAATCAGTTAAAGATACATTTTCCTCCGGTACGTACGTTTTGTCGTTGGCATCTTCATCACCGCTGCTGTCATCAATTGATGTGCCAATGTGGCTCGCTTCTGCAGTTCCGTTTCGTATTGTAGATTCTACTTCTTCCGAATAACTTCTCTCATCAGTTGATGACGATTCATTACTTTCAACTTGTCCCATTGAATCGGCATCAAGTTCGTTGGGCTGTTACCTAAAATCGTAAACATGGATATTTTTGGGCAGCGATAATGATATTTGCTTTTCATTCTCAAGAAACATTACGTCGCGACTTATGACAATTGTTTTTGAGAGCGGATTAAACAAACGATATGCTTTAGCAGTATCACTATAGCCAACAAATGTGCATTCAAGTGATTTCGGTGCCAATTTACCTGTGCGTCTAGGTTTTGGTATGTTTGGTAGGTTTTACACCCAAATACCCGCAAATGTTTCAAATCTGGTTTCTTGCCTGACCAAAGTTCTTCAGGGCTAGCATTGTTTGATTTACGCGCTATACGATTCAACACATATGCCGCCGTATTCGCGGCTTCAGCCCAAAACTTCTCATCCAGGTCCGCATCTAAAAGCATGCATCGAATCCGCTCTATTAGCGTTCGGTTCATACGCTCTGCCACGCCGTTTTGTTCAGCCGTATACGGGGTTGTGGTTTGATGTAAAATTCCACATTTTGCAGTATATTTCTTGAACGGCCCGTTCACATACTCGGTCCCGTTGTCTGAGCGCAATATCTTAATGCTTTTAGTGCACTGATTTTCAACAAAATTCTTGAATTTTACAAATTCTTCGTACACATCGGATTTAGATTTGATTGGAATTGCAAAGACTTTACGTGTGTAATCGTCAACAAACGTAAGTATATAACGTGCACCTGAGTAGGATGCCACTTGGAATGGACCCATTATATCTGTATGAACAATGTCTAAAACGCTTGTCGCCCTACTTTCGCTGTGATTGAATGGCGTTCTGGATTGTTTGCCTTTAACACATACCACGCACTTGAAATTATCAGCTGAATTGAACTTCATCCACTCACCGTCCCCGTTGCAGACATCATATTGTTGTTTACATGCCCAAGCCTTCTGTGCCATAAATTGTAATCCACAGCTACAAATGTATGATCATTCCTGTCCGATTCCTTAACAATTCAATTTGTAGAGCCCGTCAACTAGAGTGTTATTTTTATTAAGAATTTTGCAAAGATTGCCCTCGAAAACAATTTTCTTTCCGTTTAACGCCATTTGACTAACTGTAAGGAGATTTGTGCATAAATTCGGCACGTATTCAACGTTTTTTGCAGTGATCTTGCTGTTTTCGTTGCCTTTTATAATCGAAAATTCTAAATCTCCAACACATTCGATGTTTAATTTATTGTTGTTGTGGCAACGAAGTTTTTTTGTTTTATGCTTGTTGTGGTTATTGCCGGTACCTGAATACAAAGCTCTTTCTTCGTTGCTTTGTGCATCGAATTTAACATCCTGAAGTAAGAACGATTTTATTGAATCAATAGTAAGCACCTTCTTTGAGTTTTCAACTGCTAATACTAGGGATTTAAATTCATTGGGTAACCCTGCCAACAACAACGATGCGATCAACTCGTCGTCTAGTTCGAGTCCTGCTGTTTTCACTTTTATGGACGTAAGCACCATAGCGTTAATGTATTCCTGCATTGATGGGAAGTCTGATAACTTCAGTTGAACAAGCTGTTTTAGCAGTTCAACTTTCCTAGTGAGACCCTTATCTTCGTATGCTTCCATTAAGCTGCCCCATGCAGGGATGCCGTTTGGATCTAAATAGATCCAATTGGATACATTTTTAGACGAATTTTTGCGGAATACTTATTTTTTCCTATCAGTAAGTATAAATGTGGATACTTTTTTAAATCGGCCAAAATTTTATATTTTCTATAAAGTTTTTTTCGTTCAAAAATGGATTTTCATTAATGACGTTTTGTTATAAAAATCGCTACTTAAGCGTGAAATTAGAGCGTTTTATTTTTTGTGAATGAAGCAATGAACATATGAAGAGATCTCACCAAAGCAGTGTAATAAGCAGGAAACGGATTTTTAGGACCTAAAAACCTATAAAAAAGGCAAAATAAAATAACGAAAAAGGCAGGAAAAGGCACTAGGTGTTGCAAAAAAGGCAAAAAAAGGCAATAAAAAAAGACAGAAAATTCGAAGAACAATCAATAAATACATTTATTTTAGAAATGTTTATATTACAAGCACAAATAGAAAAACTATGAACTAGTTTCATTATATAAAAAATTTGTACTTCGAATCTTTGACTATTTTATCCTTTCGAGTTTCTAACTCATAAAACTTTAATCTGTGTAGTTGTAGTAACATTGAACCACAAGATGCATTTTGAAGTTGTCTGGCAGCATTTTCATTCGATTTTCGCGAAGAAAAGCCTTGAAAGTACTAAATGTGAGCTCGACGTAAGTTGATACAAGCGGAGCCCAATTTAAATATGGAACGTTTGAAACGTTCATATTATCAGGAATAAGGGCGTTTTCCTCGCTTTTTACAATTTTATCCACACCCCTTATTGTCTCTAAGCTTACGTTAGCTGAGAAAACGGATTTAAATTTTTGCAACACCAATTTGGCAAGAGGTCCCTGCGCTTCTATAAGCCGCATGGGCATGTGTATATTTTTTAATCTTAAAAAAAAAATTTAAATGCTATAATCACTTTTTTTAAGTTAGAAAAGGCAAAAAAAGGCAAATATCTTAAAAAAGATAAAAAATAGGCAAATATCTTAAAAAAGGCAAAAAAGGGCAACATCAAATGTGTATATATGGAATCAGGGAAAGCTAAATAGTGGACATTCTTAATCGAATATACTTTATCTCTTTAACAGAAAAAAGGCAATTTCCATAAAATCTGTTCCCTGGTAATAAGAGCTTTAACAGACCGCAGCGTTGATCCGGATCAACTCGGGAATTAACTGCAGTTAATCCGGATTAAGTCCCAGTTAATCCCGATCAACTCGGGAATTAACTGCAGTTGATCCGGATTAAGTCCCAAATAATCCCGATCAACGCTGCCGTCTGTTTAAGCTTTTAGGCGCAATTGTTTAGTTAGCTAAAAAAAAATGCTTTAAGCAAGATCTTAATATAATAATAATAATAATAGATGGCGCTTACGCATACGTTAGTGTTTGGCCGAGCTTCTCCCCCGATTTGAGGCGTGCGCCTTGATGTTGTCACACAATGATCTTAATATATATATATAAATTAAATATATCTCTCATATCACATATCTTCATTTGTTAATATAAAAAGAAAGAATATCTCAATGTAGTTTAAAATACACTTTAAAAAACTAAATTTTATTTATTTAAGGAGATTTTGATGAATTTTACTGAAAAGACTTTAAATACACTCTAATTTTTTTTTGTTTATTTGCGCATATTAAGGAAGGTAACCATTTTCCTCTTTTAATGTGTGCAAATTTGCACACCGTGTAATAAAATTAAACGCTGCCTGTTTACTTTAACAACCACATTTTTCGCAAAGCGCAAAATAATACATAAAATGTTTAAAATAGAGTAAATGTAAGCCCCTAATGTTTATTATTTGTAGGAAATGTATTTTTAGTTTCAAAATTTTTGCAACATTAAACATTTCATGTGTATATTTATGTATATATTTTAAAGATTTCAAGTTCTAAATCGAATCCTGAACATCTTATACGCATGTATATTTATACAGATTCCTGTTGAAAAATAGATATTTTTCAGTAGTAGTTTTACACACACTTTTCATAGTGTACAGGTAAAAATGTAACATATTAATTAATATTTTTTATACTTACTTTGCAAAATACTTATGTATA